CCCCTCCCCCATGTTGTTCCAGCTAGTTAGTCAATAACCAGATGGTTTAATGATTAACCCTGGACATGTGGTAGTTATGGTTACTTCAACAACCACAAGGGGGAGACAACTGAGAAATCAATCAGTACCTAACACTGGCCTCTAGGAGTCACAGTGTGTCACGTGCAGCAGCAGCCTAACCACTCTATATACACTATATTTATATACATATATATTGTATATGTTTATACAAAAACAAATATATACTCAGGCTGGGCGATGGTTTAACATTTAAATCGCGATTAATTGCGATAAATAAAACACAACGTAGTCACAAATGATCGGCACCAAAAATCCCCGAGTGAGAAAACGTTTAAGGCCGGGGTTAGCGTTCCGCAGCGCTAACAGCTAACGCCGGGGTTAATACCTGTGATGTCAGCGCTAACAGCTAACGGCGATGTTTACACCGGTGATAGCGCTCCATAGAGCTAACAGCTAACGCCGGGGTTAATACCCGTGATGTCAGCGCTAACAGCTAATGTCGGCGTTAATACCTGTGATGTCAGAGCTAACAGCTAATGCCGGGGTTAATACATGTGATGTCAGAGCTAACAGCTAATGCCGGGGTTAATACATGTGATGTCAGCGCTAACAGCTAACGGCGATGTTTACACCGGTGATAGCGCTCCATAGAGCTAACAGCGTATGCCAGTGTCTGTATTAGCGCTCGGCAGCGCTAACAGCTAATGTCGGGGTTAATACCTGTGATGTCAGAGCTAACAGCTAACGCCGGGGTTAATACATGTGATGTCAGCGCTAACAGCTAATGTCGGCGTTAATACCTGTGATGTCAGAGCTAACAGCTAACGGCGATGTTTACACCGGTGATAGCGCTCCATAGAGCTAACAGCGTATGCCAGTGTCTGTATTAGCGCTCGGCAGCGCTAACAGCTAATGTCGGTGTTAATACATAATGGCGGCATTTACACCAGTGATACTAGCTAGCTACTTATCCTATTTCAACAAATAAAAAGCATGCTACCGGTTTCGGGGACGTATGATTGGACAGTGACCGTTAGAGGACCGGGTTTTGCGAAAGGTTGATTCTCTCCGTTTCCGGTTCCTGTGAGCGCCGCAGCAGTACGTAAAAAAAAAAAAGTGAAAACGTAAACACATATTTAGTAAAAAAGCCGGTTAGCGACTTAAAATAATAAAATAATTTATTAAAAAAAAAAGACGCGATAAAATACTTAAAAAATAAAGGATTTAAACGTGATAATAACGCGTTAATTTGCCCAGCTCTGCTACATATGTTAGGAATATATTTACTGTGTATATTGTTTATATTTAGTTATATATACTGTATTTGCAGACACTGCACAGTCTCGCCACCAGGGGCTGTTAGAACACAGTCAGTGTGTGACTCTGAACTTTTCTGTCCGTTGACATAAACACGTCCACGTCCTTAATCCGACCAATCACAGCCCAGACTGAACCGATCGGTCAGTTTGCCAGCGCTGGTTCCCCGCCCCCCTGGTACCATCGCAGCAGTACCAGGTGTAGACGGTGCGATGGTACTCACAGTAGGTTTTCCTGGTCAGCTCCTCCAACACCTCTGCTTTCAGCTTGCTGTTCGATTTACCCATGATTCCTGGCGCTCCTTCAGCTGGGCCGCAGTACCACCTGTGACCACCCGGAGAAGAGCAGACGACGCCGAGCGGCGGGGGGGGGGAAAACAACAACAACAAACAA